TATATAAATATATATATTAAAAAAAGACACAGTATTTATCGTAGCATTAGTGGTACAGCACCTCTTTAGTGAGGCTGTCCAGACATCATGTGCTTTTATTTGAGTCCAACTCATTAAAAAAAATTTCTCATCACCTCAAATCAAGTGATTTATTTTAGGCTCCCCTTTTGTTGAGCCACAGGCCCAGCTGCTGCCTAGGAAAACTGAATGGGTTTTGGGGAGGCTACTTGGCAGGCAGAGTCAGGTTAAGCTGCTTTGTAGTATCCCAAGAGGTATGGGTCCCTAGGCCCCTGACAGCTGGACAAAGCAGGGAACTGCAGGTTCAGGGGTCCAGAGAACTAAGGTGGCCTTGGGACACATAGCAAAGCAAGGAAGTACAGGGTCCTTAGCCAGCATGCTGTCTACCACCCTTCCCTGCCTCTCACTGCCTGCCTTGTCCCCTCTTGTCCCTTCTCAATGCCCTGCTTTCCCTTGTTAAGATGGCCAAATAATTCATTTACTCTCAGTTGATTGCCTGGAAACTACTTGCCTTCAACCCAAGAGCTGCTGTGTGCCAGGCTGCCAAGAGGAAGATGCCATTCCCAGAACAGAGGCCCTTGAGGACAGGGCTGCTTTCTTCTTGCCTGGGTCTTCACCATCGCCACTCAGTTCAATGGGATTGATGCTTTCAGTGGAGAAGTTGGTACCTCATGGAGACAAACTCTTGGGTCACTCACTGGTCCCTGCAGTGGATGGAACCCTTGACCTCCTGGGCCAGACTTCTCTATAGCTGTGCGAGGCTGCTCCCTACAGCTTGGCCCAGTCACTCTTGGAGGAAGAGACCTTGTGGGCCTTAAAAATGTCCTACCAGCTGTTTCAGATGGATTCTCACAGCTAGTAGAACTAAGAAGTCCCACTACCACAGGAAAGGCTGAGATCCTGCTAGGACTTGGGTGGGCCATCTGTGGAGGGGACTGTTTGCCAGGAGGAGGTGGGCTTACACACAGGAGCACCTGGAGGGGCTGGGATTTCCATACCTGCTTCACAGGGTGAGTGAAAGCCCAAACAGCCTCTGCAAAGATTATGGTCAACCAAAAGTTGAACTTCCCATCCTTGTGTGCATCTGGGTTGGGTAAGTTCTGTTAGTGGACACAAATGAATGGTATAGCCCAATATTTTTGTTGCCCATCAAGCATCACCAGGCCCACTGCTGGACAAAAGTGAGTTAGACCAGCTGTCATGAGAGGCGGGGGCCTGGCTCTGAGATCTTCCAAAATTTTGCTTTGGGGGATGATCATCTATTTTCCTACCTTTTCTTGGTCTATGTCAGGGACCTAGTTAGCAGCACATCAGGAGGTATTATCCTGTCTGTAAAGAAAATTCATCCTGTTCAGGGCTAGAGTACCAAGCTCCAAACCAGGTTGGAAACATCAGGCTGTTTCAATGGTCAACCCAACAATTGGCAATTAAAACCAGTGGCATTTGCAGCTGCAGTAGAGTCCAGAGAACACCTCTACCAGTCTTATCCTTTTACAGTTAAAGAAACAGGCCCAAGAGATGAAGTGACTTGGCCAGAGTCACACAGCAAATAGTGGCAGAGCCAGGGCTAACTATCCCTGTGGGTTAGACAATACTGTCTAGAGCTAAAGCAGAATGGCAAATGAGCCTTGCGAGGGGCTAGGTTGGCATGACTTCCAGCAGTGCCTGAGTAGCTGGTACCTTCAGAGGTGTGATGGGTGGGGCTGGGTGCTTAGACTTGGTTGTGGAGCTGCTGAGAGAGGGCCTGTTAAGGCTCGGAACTGCTGAGTGCTGCATGGGGTTGGGTGTCTGCCTGACTCACATTCAGCACCCATGGCCACCTCCCCATTTTCTGTGCCTTATCTCACTGTTTCAGCTGAGTCCAAGTTGTTTACTCTGTTCCTCTTGAGAGGGGTTCTCTGTCCTTGTTGGACAGCTCACTTTTGGGACATAAGCCTTTGCCCGACAAGCTGTGGGCAGGGCTAAAATCAAGCTGCTGGAGCCAGCTGTCTAGCTGATAATCCAGGCCTGACTGCAACCAGAGGAGCCCCTCACACACCCCTAATCCTACTAGCTTGCTTCCAGGAGACTGCAGTGGAGAAATGTTCCTGGGAGCAGCTTAGTGAAGGGCTGGACCTGACCTGACCCTCGGGGACAAGAGGAAGACCTGACTGTGTTGGGTTATCCAGCCCTGAGGGAGCAGCGTTCCCACTTACCTTCCCCTTGTGGCACCAGATGACGGCTCCTTCCAGAGCAGAAATTGGCAGACCACTCAAAGTCTCCATCCTACTCCCCATTCCTCCCTACATGGGTCTGTGGCTAGGTGTGGGCTGTCAGAACAGGGATACCACAAGATAGAGAAGTGAGGACTGCCTGGCTATCCAGCACCTCCCCAGCCCTTAAGCACAAAGAAGAGGCAGAGGACTGTTGGGGCTGAAAGTTCCTTTGGTTGCTCACAACTCAGGTATGCATGCCATTTGGCAGCTGGATAGCAGAGTCCTACTTCACCACCAACCCCAGGTATTTGTACCTGCGGCCAGATGGTAGCTTCTGGCTGTGCCCAGCACCCACCTCTTTGCATAGGGTTTTCCTCCATTATTAACTACAGCTGAGACAGATATCCTCCACATTGTGCACACTGGTTCTGTCTTTGTCCTTGCAAATTGATACTTGGCATTAGCATGAAATGTGGTGTGGGAGGGTTGAAAGAATTCTAACATAAGACATCCTATTAAAATTGTACTTGAGATGAAAAAATCTGTTGTATTTTGACAGAGTTATTTTTATTAAAATACACATCCATGAGCAATTGTGTCTCATCTCTGTTTTGAGTCTGACTGGGTGGAGTTGGTGAGTCCTCTTCAAGGACCTTTGAAATTTCATGTTTGCAAAACCCCAAAGAGAACAGGGACTATAGCTAGTTCTCTCCCTTGAAATAGTTTTCATCTTAGACAAGGAAAACAACAAATTTAACTTCAGAAAGATAGGCTACAGAGTTTTTTTTTTTTCCCCACTAAAGTAAGATTTTTAAGAATGTAGTATTTCTAGCTGGGCGTGGTGGCACACCCCTTTAATCCCAGAGCCTGGGAGGCAGAGGCAGGCGGATCTCTGTGAGTTCAAGGCCAGCCTAGTCTACATAGTGAGGTTCAGGCCAGCTGGGGCTACAAGGAGACCCTGTCTCAAAAAAACCAAAAAAAAAAAAAAAAGTATTTCTTTAGTATCCACAGAGAATAGATTCCAGAAACCCTTTTTCCCTTCAGATACGGAATTCCTCAGGTGTTGAAATCCCTAATACAAAATGGCATAAATAAACCTACACACATCCCTTATATACTTCAGAAGCAATTTTTAAAATTGGGCGTGGAGGGGGTATGTTGTGTGTACATGTTTGCATGTGTATGCAATTACACTTGCCTGTGCATGTACACATGGAGGCCACAGGTCAGTGTTGGATGTCTTTCTTAATTGCTGTCCACCTTTTTTCTAATTTATTGGTCTTTTTGAGACAGGGTCTCCCCATAGCCATATCTGGCCTGGTACTCACTATGTAGACCAGGCTGACCTTGAACTCAGAGAGACCCACCTGCCTCTGCCTCCTGAGTGCTGAGGTTAAAGGTGTGTGCTACCATGCCTGGCTGCTCTCCCACCTTATTTATTTTTACTTTCTACTATTTTTTATTTTGATGTGATAAATATATTGCTGCCAAAACAGTCATACACATAAAATAAAAATTTAATGTGGGGTTTTAACTGCATTTTCTAAATTTGCATTACCTTTGAATGTTTCATTCAGTTAACATCTTACAAAATGTTTTTTTGTTCTTTGGCAGTGCTGAGGATTGAACACAGGCCCTCACATATACTAGGCAAGTGCTCTAACCACTAAGCTACACCTCCAGCACCTATAGAACTGTTAAGAGCTAGTAGAAGCTAGCTCTTAGTAGTAGAAGAAATGGGATATCAGATTAGTGCAATAGTCCTAGTTCCATAAGTAAAACTGGGGCAGGCTCATTTTTCTCCAAACTAGTGGTTAAACTGGGAATATCCGTGCCCCCCAGGAGACATTTAAAAATGTCAATAGAAACTTTTCGTAGTCACAACTGGAGTTGTATGCTAATGGCATCTAGAGGATAGAGGCCACGGATGCTGCTATTCACACTATAGTGTCAGAACTTTCCCCACGTCTGCCTAACAAAAAATGATCAGGCCCCAAATGTCAGTAGTGTCACTGCTGAAAATTCCTGATCTAGGAGAGTTGACCAAGATCGAGAAATATTAAATACAGGCACAGTGGACTCTGTTCTCTTCTGTCCTCAATCCAAGGGTGATAAAAACCCTTCTGAAGAGTAAGGTTAGAGGTTGCAATTTCCTTTTTCTTTCTTTTGACCTTTTTGAGACAGGGTTTCCCTGTAGTCCCAGCTGGCCTGTCACTCACTTTGTAGACCAGGCTGGCCTCGAACTCACAGAGATCTGCCTGCCTCTGTTCCAAGAGGGCTGTGACTAAAGATGTTCACCACCACGCCCGGCAGAAGTTGTAATTTCTTAACTCTCAAGCCAGATATGGTGGTAACGGTGGGAAGGCTTGTCAATTTATCCCAAAGCAGGGTCAATCCCCAACTGGTAAAAGTGTTGCATAACTGCCTCGGTTCAGCAGGCGTGTTCTGCCATTACAGGCTGCTCTGGAACGACTGGGAAGCCCTCCTTTTGCCGCAGAGTGAGCAGTCACCAGGAGAGTCAGGACAGGGAGGGTGGAGACTTCCCAAACCACCCTACTCTCATTTCTAGAGCCAGTTTCCACACTTCACTACAATAGGAGTCTGGTGAACCAAAGGGTAGTCTCGTTACAAAATGTATTTACTTAGGAGAACACAGGTTCCAGTAAGAGAGGTCAAGGGAACTTGGGGACACAGTCTAGAAGAGAAGTGACATTTAAGTGACAACCAAAGACCTCCTTCAGAGGAAGAGGCACCTAGACGAACACCTGAGCAAACAGGAAAGAGAATCATTCTGAGTCCGGAAGTCCGACCAGTTTCGAAGCACCTGGGCTTCTACAAAGACAGGTAGCTGTCTAACCCGAGACCTTCTCTCATTCCAGGCGAACCAGGGTGCACAATTCCTAAAGCCTCCACATTCTTGATGCCAGTTGGGGCAAATCCCACTGGGAGACCCTGAGGCTGCAACGCCACCCACATCCTTAGCTGAACCGCAGAAATTGCAGGAGTGAACTAACTCCGAGCCGGGTATCGCAAGCCCCGCCCTCAAGGGGCACGCATGCGCAGCTCTCCACCCCGGCCCCTCCCCGCGCCGGTCCACCCCCATCACAGCGCATGCGCATTCCTCTGGCTGTCCCGCCCCTCCCTTCCAGAGCCCCGGTTCCTTAGAAACCAGGCAGCGTGCTCCCGGTACCGGTGCGCTGGATTCCGGTACCCGTGCATCCGCACTAGCCTCCCTCGGGGAGGACGGACAGCTCCGGAACCCGTGGGGACGCGTGGTCTCGGGTGCGGCGCGGGGCGGGAGATGCCAGCGGGCCAGGTGAGAGGCGGCCGGCGCGGGTGAGGGTGAAGCAGGGCATGGAGCAGCCGGGAGCGGGCACTGCCCGGGCCTCTGCCGCCGCCCGGCTTCCCAGGTTGGAGGCGTGGATATGAGGAGCCGGAGGGGGCCTGCCCCTGAGTACCAGGATCGCCTCGGGGTTCCTTTTCCACACCCCAGAGATGGGATTTGAACGTTTGGTCGTAGGATTTTGGCACCTGGAGGACCTTGAACCTCACCCATCTCAGTAGAGATGCTGAACCCTAGGCTTCCCCGCCTAGTGCGGAACAGGACCCCACCATACCTGTGTGAGGATGGGCGCTTTGTGGATGAGGATGTGTGAGGTGTGGAAGCTTCAGACAAAGGGCTCGTGGGGTCTATCCTCTTGCAGGATGAGATTTGACTTTCAGGCAGCAGATCTCTAAGAAATGGATGTTCAGGTAAGAACTTGAAAGAAGGAACATCCCAGAAAGGTTTGGTTGGCTCTGCCAGTTCTGAATGCGCCCCAGCGGTGTTCTGGTTGGCCCTGGCCTACCTTTTATAGCTCAGGGAAAAAAGCTCATGGCCTTGTGAAGACAAAAGGTGAGGTAAGGTGTCTGTCAAGGCTTTATCACAGTTGAATCACAGTAAGAGAAGAGATGACTGGGAGCTGAGGATTTGTGAGTGGTTATGTGAATTTACCTTCCAGACTGCAGCAGAATCTAAACAGGATAGGCATGGAAAAGTTTAAAACTGCATTGGGTAGACAGCAAGGAAGTTTATTAACCATCTTGCGTTTATGTTAATTGTTCCCACAGTGTCTGGCTAAGATACATGAGGAAGAAATCAAAACCCAGGCTAGGAGCTACCCTTGGATCTAGGGGCACAGAAACCTCTAAAGGAAGGCCTTTTGGTTGAAAGAAAGCCCTTAAGTTAGAAAAAAAAGAGGACACAATGTTATTATGATATGGAGTGATGAGGAAAAGATGGTTGTCTTTGATTTAGAGAAGCTAGATTCATTTTTGATAAGAAAACTCATTTCCTTCTGAAAAGCTAATCACAGAACACAAGAGTTCAGGACATTCATTTTACAGAAACAAAAAAGTTACTGCTTTTAGGGCTATGAATTTAAAGCATCTATTTTGGCTAAGAAGTAGAAAATTTTAGAAAGCAGTTCTGTTTTTAAAACTTTTATTTTAAGCCAGATGAGGTGGCTCTTGCCTTTAATCCCAGTACTCAGGAGGCAGAGGCAGGTGGATCGCTATGAATTGAAGGCCAGCCTGGTCTACATAGCAAGTTACAGGTCAGTGGGGGCTACAGGGAGACCCTCTCTCAAAAAGACCAAAAAAACCCCAAACAAATGCTATTTTGTAAATGAAGAATTCAGTTATGAGACTTGTTCTCTCACCACGTGGTTGTCCTACTTTTCCTCTGAAATTATTTCTCAGGGTCTAATCCTTAATTTATTTATTTATTTAGACAGGATCTCATATAACCCAGATTGGCCTCAAACTAACTATGTCTCCAGGAATAACCTTGAACTTTTGATCTTCCTACCTCTACCTTCCTGCCTGCAGGGAGCATACCACCATGCTGGTTTTCTGAGGTTCTGGGTTTTTATGTATATGCGTGTATTGCCTGCATGTAGGTAAGTGCACCTGTTTCGTGCAGTGCTCTCGGAGGTCAGAAGAGGCTGTCAGATCCCCTGGGACTGGAATTATGGACAGTTGTTAGCTGCTATGTGGGTGCTGGGATTCGAACCCAGGTCTTCTTGTAAGAACAACCAGTGTTCTTAACCGCTGAGCCATCTTTCCAGCCCCCATTAAATTTTTTTACATTTCATTTATTTTGTGTCCATATGTGTATATGTGCACGAGTGTAGAGATCAGGGACAACTTATTCTTCCACCATGTGGGTACCAGAGATCAAACTCAGGTTCTTAGCCTTGTTGGCAGATGCCTTTACCTGCTGAGCCACCTCACTGGCCCCATTTTTTATTTTTTAATTTGCAAAGAAAATTCAAGCTGGGTGTAGTTGGTACATGCCTGTAATCCCAGCACCCAGATGGAGGAGGAACAAAAGTTCCAGGCTAGCCTGGGCTTCATATCAAGACTCTGTCTCAAAAAGAAAAAAAAAGCCAGGTGGTGGCACATATTTATGATCCCAGCACTTAGGAGCCAGAGACAGGCGGATTGCTGAAAGTTCAAGGCCAATCTGTTTTACATAGTGAGCCTATCTAAAAACAAACAAGCAAACAAAAACAACAAAACCCCAGAAAATTCATATATGATTTCTGTAGTAATAGGACTCAAAGTGAGATCTTGTCTCATTCTATAGCCCAGTCCAGGCTGGAACTTTCTTACCAATCCTCCTGCCTCAGTCTCCCAAGTCAAGTGCTGGGATTATAGCATGACCCACCATGCCTGGCACAAGAATGCTTTATAAAAGGTGATTTTTTTTTTTCCCTCTTGAGGTCAAATCATTTTATTCAGAAACTTAAAGGTGGGAAGGGGCAGATGAGATCCAGGAGATCTGATGTCTTCTGCAGGGCAGATCTTCCTGCCCAACTAGTTGCTAAAAAGTCTAAGATGATTCTTTTAAAAAAATTTTTTTTTTATTTTTATTTTATGTGTTTGAGTATATTGCCTGCATGTGTGTAAGTGCACCCATGTAGTGCAATGCCCATGCGGAGATCAGGAAAGGGCATCCAATCACCTGGAACTGGTTGTTAGCTGCCTTGTGGGTTCTGGGAATCAAACCTGGGCCCTCTGCAAGAGCAGCCAGTGCTTGTAACCACTGAGCCATCTCTCCAGCCCCTAAAGATGATTCTTGATTATAATCATCAATTTGTTGCTAGCATAATAAAACTAATTTTCAACATAATTTTGTCTTTGCAGAGGGTTCCCCCCCCCCAATCTGATGAGAAGATATATGGAAATTTTGTTAATAGATCAAATCAGTTTCAGAAAGAAAGCTTTGTCCTAGGTTCATAAATCAGTGCTAGTCCATAACTGTAGTAGATATGGTGGCTATAAATTTTATTGACTTCTCTTTCATCTGTGGGATTATTTTGTAAAGGTACCTCATGAGTTAGAATGGGGAACTGAAAAGATAACTCAGTGGTAAAGAGCACTTGCTGGCTTGCTGCTCTTCCCAGAGGACCTGAGTTCAGTTCTTAGCATCCTTATCTGGTGGCCCATAACTGCCTATAAGTCCAGCTTGAGCAGGTTCCGATGCCCTTTTCTGGCCTCTGAGGCACCTTCACATGCTCATACTGCCCCCATTACACATACAGGTTTTTGGGGTTTTTTTTTTTGTCTTTTTTGAAGCAGTGTCTCCCTGTAACCCCAGCTGTCCTGGATCTTGCTATGTAGACCAGGCTGGCCTCAAACTCACAAAGATCCTCCTGCCTCTGCCTCCCAAGTGCTGGGATTAAAGGCGTGTGCCACCACACCCAGCTTTTTTTTTTTTCAGTTATAATGAAGCATCATCAAAATTATGCATAATCTATGAAGAAAGTCAGTACTATTGCCTAGATTCGGTCAGAAAGGCTTCATTCATGAAGATGATTGTATTCAAGAGTAGAAACTCCTATTGTATTAGGGTTGACAGAGGTAGATGATAAGAAGCCAAAATCAAGGTAAGATAGAAAGGAATAGTTGGCCCGTGCTGAACTGGATGGGATATGGAAGCATGTTTTGAAAGTGAAGGGAAATACTTTGCTAGGTGAGCTGTTGTGAAATGAACCACTTAAATGATGTTGCAGTGTGCTTCATGGATTCCTGTGCATTTTCTGAGTTCAGCCACCAGACTCTTCTTTTCAGAAAAGGGTGAACATTATGGGAGACTCTCAAAGGGTTTTTAAGTTGCTATGACAATGAAACCTTTGACAAATAATTACTTAGCATCCACTCTGTTTTCAGTGTAAGTGAGGGCCTTATCAAGTCTGGCCTGCAATAAAGTAATCACTAGTATTTGACAGGCCAACTGTGAGGAACTCCTAGCAGTAATATTAACAGAATCTACTTTCACTGAACTGATTTTCTGGTTTTTCTGTAGGAGAAATGAAAAGGGCATACAGTGTTGTCTGATGTAAGATCTGAGTACAGAGCTGGAGAGATGGCCCAGCGGTTAAGAACACTGGTTGTTCTTGCAGAAGACCTGGGTTCTTATCCCAGCACCCACATGGCAGCTAACAACTGTTCCTAACTCCAGTCCTAGGGAAGCTGGCAGCCTCTTCTGACCTCCGAGGGCATTATATGACATGGGTGCACTTACCTTCATGCAGGCAATACAGGCATACACATAAAATAAAAAAATAAAAAAGATCTGAGTACAGAGGTTAGTTTTTAGAAGACGGGAATCAAATAGCACTAATTAGACAGGGGAAAAAGATCTTGCTGGCGTCTGAAAATTCACTCATGAAATTTATAGTTTGTGTAGTTTTATAGCTTCTTAGGCAGATCCACAAGAGAAGTGGAAGGCCTTTAGGAAAACACTGAATTGGAGATTTTGGTATTTTGGAGAATATGTGCATAGTATAATAAAGGGACATTACTTGTCTTACATATAAGAACAGTTTTAATAAATTTAAAAAGTAAACTAAGGGATAGGGCATGTACTTAATGATGGAATGCTTGCCTCATATGTGTAAGGCCTTGGGTTCAGTCTCCAGCACTGAAGCAAAACAAAAAAAAATATATATTTGAAGGCTAAAAATCCACATTTCTTAAAAATTTAGGTGTTGGGGCTGGAGAGATGGCTCAGTGGTTAAGAACACTGGTTGTTCTTGCAGAAGACCCGGGTTGGAATCCCAGCACCCACATGGCAGCTAACAATGTCTGTAACTCCAGTTCCAGGGGATCTGACAGCCTCTTCTGTCCTCCTTGGGCATTGCATGACACAGGTGCACTTACCTACATGCAGGCAATACACGCATACACATAAAAATAATAATAAATATTTTAAAAAGAATTTAGGTGTCATGAACTGGGCATGGTGACACACGCCTTTAAGCCCAGAAC